GTAGTTTCGGACAATATGGTGTCATGCAAGTGCCAGCGTCACGTATGCACCTTGTGTTCGTAAGCAAAATTCTAGGTGGTGATACATCGTAGGATGGTATACAGCCAGTAAGCATGCACGAATCGACTCATCTTGCTGGATTGCAGCATGACAGCATCTTAGCAATCACTGATTAGCCACTAGGAAGGCTATTATTAATGCTTTCGGGTTGCCACCCATAACTGTATTGAGATTGATTTTCAAGTGCTTGTTATTAGGGCTACGTGTTATCAACCATTGTCATCCACGTGTAACGTGTTTTCATTCAGCTGGTACAATTCTATTATTCCTATTATGGCATTAAAGTCCTGTCGTGTTTCGACAACAATAGGAACCATCTTTTATTGCATTATTATCCATGTGGCACTCTTCATCAAACAGAGAAATTCTGTGGGAAACTACTTCAAAGTTTTAGTGCATCCTCGCCTTTTAATCTGTACCTGCAAATTACCATGTCAGATCTACAGTTCTATAGATTTCTTTTTGTACATTTAGTTAAGTAGTTTTGATCTTCATGAAAAAGTTTTTTTTTCTAACCATTCCTTCATTGATTCATGTCAAAGTTGAATAAGCTAGCATTTTTTATGTAAGTCACAACATCAACATGATATGTTTAGCTTGTTCCTTTGGATAAGTATGAGTGAACTTGCCATACATTGCTATCCTAACATACTTGAACTGGCCATACAAATAAGATGTATAATTTGGAAAATTCCTTGCAATTGTCATTAACTCTGTAATAAAAAGGAACCAGACATGGACAAATTTCTCATGGTAGACTGGTATCTCCAGTAAAAAAATTCAACTATCTGTATGCGACAATTTATTGGAAAGAATTTTGTGTCCTTCATGCCTTGAGCTATGTGAAGGGGAGCCTTAGCGCAGTGGTAAAGCTGCTGCCTTGTGACCATGAGGTCACGGGTTCAAGTCCTGGAAACAGCCTCTTACAGAAATGTAGGGAAAGGCTGCGTACAATAGACCCAAAGTGGTCGGACCCTTCCCCAGACCCTGCGCAAGCGGGAGCTACATGCACTGGGGCTGCCCCCATGCCTTGAGCTATGTGAGCCACATTATATCTGCTTGTTTTAGCGTGTGAATGCAAGTACTGGAGATCCTGTCCAGTTAAGTCAGCACTTTCAGAACACACCAAGTTTGGATATAGAAATGCCCTTTGTGGTTGTGTAGGATTGATTGCTTATATAGAGTTCAGTTAGTAGTCTGTTGCTTGATTCTAGGAACTTCAGTAGGTACACACAGATTTTGAAGCACAAATGAACTGTCAATTCTTATAACTTACCTGTCCATGTGCTTCGGGATTAGTGGACCTACCCTTGATTGGTTGATGCATGGAAGCACAACTTACTAATTTTACGAATTCACTCTCATTCTGGTGCCTTTTTTCTCCTTCCCTTTTGAAGGTGTGGAGGCCGATCACACCATCCATATGGTGCGGGGTGCTGCACCACCAGCAACATCGGCTGCCCCGGCTGCAGCCAACCTTGGGACTTCAACTACGACTCCTGCGAATACCCCGCCAGCTGGTCTTGGAGGCTTGTTTCAAGGTCTTGGTAGTACAGGAACTGCTGGCAGTGGAGCTTTTGGTTTATCTGGCTCTGGCCTTCCAGGATTAGAGCAGATGCAACAGCAGTTGACTGAGAATCCTAACTTAATGAGAGAAGTATTGAATACACCAGCCATGCAAAACATAATGAATAGCCCTGATCTAATACGCGATTTAATTATGAACAATCCTCAAATGCGTGAGCTCGTCGACCGTAATCCGGATCTGGCACATGTCCTGAATGATCCAAGCATTCTCCGCCAAACTGTTGAAGCAGCTAGGAATCCTGAACTTATGAGAGAGATGATGCGGAACACAGACAGAGCCATGAGCAACATTGAATCTTCTCCAGAAGGGTTTAATATGCTGCGCCGCATGTATGAAACTGTTCAAGAGCCATTTATGAATGCAACAACAATGGCTGGGGAGGGCGACACAACTCCAAACCCATTTGCAGCTCTTGTAGGAGACCAGGGGTCTAACCAAGCCAGAGATCCAACTGGAGATGCACCAACTACTGCTCCTGCTCCAAATACCAATCCACTCCCAAATCCCTGGGGCGCAAATGGTAGGTTTGGCCGTTTGGTTACTCCCATATTTTTGGTGTTCATATGTGCATTTATTCTTGTCCTGTTTTGCTATCTAAGACTTAAATCTACAGCTGGGGCTGCACAAGGAGCAGCAAGGCCTTCTGCTGCTGCAAGGAGTGCCACAAGCGGTGGCCTAGGAGGGTTGGGTTCTGCAGATTTGGGAAGTATGCTGGGTGGTGGCTCTGATGCTTCCTTATTGAACCAGGTTATACAAAACCCTGCCATGATGCAAATGATGCAAAACATTATGTCTAATCCTCAGACCATGAATCAGGTACACAGCTTCAACTACTAATGTTTTGAATAGTTGATTGGGAGCATTCTTCTTTTTTTTTGCGGGGAGATTGGGAGCATTCTTCTTTTTTTTTTGTGGGGAGATTGGGAGCATTCTTGACCTGAGTACATAATGTTTTGGCACTCTCCTAATGTTTTCTTGCATATAGTTGCTCAACATGAACCCGAATGTACGTAACATGATGGAATCAAATACCCAAATGAGAGAAATGTTTCAGAATCCAGAATTTCTTCGCCAGTTGACATCTCCTGAAACATTGCAGGTGAAATTTATACTGCTATATGTATGTGCACAGCATGTGATTATATGATAAACTAAATTGCTTTCCTTTTATGTAGCAATTAGCTTCATTCCAGCAGGCATTGACGTCACAGCTTGGTCAACAAGCTGCTGGCCAGTAAGTATCTTCAGCTCAACTTGACCTCCTTAGCTCATGATATTTTTTATTTCCCTCTACCTAATGTTGTTTTCTTGCTTGATTCAGGGAGCGGACCCAAGCGGGCACTACTCCAGGTAATTTGCTCTCTACCTAGTTACCATTTGAATGACTTATCTTACCTAGCATTGATATATGATTCATTAATGAGCATCCTGCCTGAATCTATATTTGTATTTTTTATGGTTGTGTTCCTTTAGTTAAACATCACTTTTGAATATTGCTCTCCATGAGTTCTGTTTTTGTATCAAAATTGAGAATGTCTAGCACACTGAGATTCCCCCCCCTTTTGGGTCTGTACCTTGGTTGTATAATAAATTGGAAAAGGGGAAAACAAATTAACACCCTTTGGGCGAACAAGAAACTCTACTTGGAAACAGTTGTGTTCCTGATTTGTTATATATGCATTCCCTGCTTTACTTTATTTTTTATATCCTTGAGATGCCTCATCCAACTATTGCATGCGAAGTCAATGATTTTTTTTTTATCTCATACTGTGCTTGCAAACTCGTGTTAAGTGAAACAGGCTTAAACTTTTTGCTGTATAATTACACAAATATCTAGCTATTTTTCTAATAATGCATTGGATGCTAGGCAATGTTAACCTCAACAGCTTGATGAGCATGTTCAGTGGGCTTGGTGCTGGCGGTGGCCTGGGTGGTGTCCCAAATGTCCCAACTGGTTAGTATATGTTTCATTGTTTATAATACTGAATGGAAGAAACGCCGTCTGATAGTGTGATTGTGTGTTGTCCGTGAACCTTGCTCATCAATTGAGTTTCTGAATTCGCAGTGCCACCGGAAGAGCGCTACGCGACGCAGCTAGCTCAGCTCCAAGAAATGGGTTTCTTTGACCCACAGGAGAACATCCGGGCGCTGCTGGCTACCAATGGGAATGTCCATGCCGCGGTGGAGCGGCTTCTTGGGAACTTTGGGCAATAGTAGACTATATATGCAGGGCCAGTCACCTGTAGTAGTTGGCATTGTGAGGTTTGATTGGCTGCATACCCTACCCGGTCCCGGTGAGATTGAAAGGCAGCGTCTCTAGATTCTATGTGTTTTAAGATGGATGAATAAACCAGTCTCTCTGCTGGCTATCCTTTGCAGTTTGCATGGATACATGAGTCCCGTGTCGTGTCGTGTCGTGGTGGTTAAACTGTGGTATATTGGTGGTAGTACCTTGGGTCGTCGGTGTACATACATATTGAATTGTGGTGGTTTTAAAAGTACATCATGGTCATTGTCTCTTACCGCCCATACATATTTGCTGTCAAATTCATCGAAGATGTGCCAAAGTTGCTTGATTCCTATGCGCGCTTTTGGTCCGTGCAATGTTCATACAACACTTGTATTTATTGGCTTTTGAAAAAAAAAGGGAAATGCTAGGTGTTATGTGAAGCACCGAAGCCTCTTGTAGAGACGCGCAAGTCGTGATGCCAAGGAATTGAACACCAGTCGGTAGGTACAGGGCCCAACGACGTGTAGCATCGCGGTTCACTACACATTTGAGGTGAAAGGTAAATTCTTAATCATCTTTAGACCAAGAGAAGAGGTGTGGTGGCTCCTAGTAGCGGGAAACGAACAAACAAACTCTCCCTTGGCTTAGCTCTAGTGCCTCCGGGGCAAGACGGTGATGGTGCCGCACCTGCACGCGATAGATAGGCAGAGGCGTCTCTTCCGCCGTGCCACGGTCGCCTCGCGTGCGGGCCATGTGAACGGCATCTGCCAAATTCGCATCCCCCGCCCCGTTCACACCCAGTTCCATTTCCCGCCCGCGTTTATCCGATGGTCACGCCGGAAACTGCCCGTTTTATTCTGGCCGGGGAGCGCCCGCCGGGGCGCGTGTGGATGAGGCGCGCGCGGCCCGTATCCGCCCACCCGACCCCCGGAGCAGGCAGAAGCACACGTACGCCCACGAACGATCGAAGGCCCAGAAGCGTCGATCCGGCACGGGGACAAATCTCTACGGTCCTCTCGTTCCCGCTATAAAACTATCGGCGCCGCGGGGCGAGGCTCGCCTAGTCGTCATTCCGCGAGCGCACCGCCGGCCGTCCGCCCGCCGACCGTTCCTCCGTTCGCCATGGACCCCTACAAGGTGCGTGCTCTGCTCTCTCCGCTGCTCAGCTGTTAACTCGCGCCTCGTGCTGGTTCATGGCTTTGGTTTTGATGGGAGTTTCGTGTCGCTTGTGTGGCGCAGTACCGGCCGTCGAGCTCCTTCAACGCCCCGATGTGGAGCACCAACTCCGGCGCGCCCGTCTGGAACAACGACAACTCCCTCACCGTCGGATCCCGAGGTACTCACACCTGTGCTCACCATGCTTTTCCTACGACCCATGGCCACACTACTGTAGCAAGCAAAGTACGCACGTACGTCCAGAATTAATACTGGCGGAAAATGAAACTTGGTACTTGGTACTATAGTACTACTTGCTTAATTTTTGGCCGCTCCTCCAGTGAATTTGAGCTTGCATCCTAGTACGTGAATAGTCTCTTCCTGTTTTTTTTTTTCTGCTTTGAAATTAAGGGGGTTCCCCCAGCCACAACTTTTGTCAAGCGAGGCCAAAATCAGCCACATCAACACCGTTTCACAGCGCCCAGCCACAAACCTGGCCTGGGCCAAAGAACTAAGCTAGGCCTAAGATTACCAAGACTGACTGACTTACTTCATGTTTGTGAATGACTGCCGTAATACCTATCACACTGAAACCGAATTCCTGTATGTAATTATTAGTACTACAACACAACCATCCCCTGCATGATCTGTCCATGTAAAGTAGGTTGTTCTTTGTAAACTCTGAAACAAACATTGTACCATGCTTCAGCACAGATCTAGTATTTGTTAAAATCTGATCATAAATCTACAAAGAGAGTTTTCTCCTGACACGCAGTTTGGCAGACTAGAGTTGTAACCCATCCAACAAAAAAATGGTTTATGCAAGTTCAGACGAAGCCAATTTCAAGTGATTTGGGCTTTTTCCTGCAAAAATTATTTTTACCCCGAGCTCTGCATCTGGACAATGCATGCAGCCATATTATTAATTATTCACAAAAATCATACAAGGTGATACATCAATAAGCCTGAAACCACTATCTTGATAACGTTGTTGCTACTCCTATCCCTTGATGAATGTGTCCGTGCCTAATACCAAACACACATCGCACCAAAGCCTAACATCTAAAGCCGGGTGTCCCATCTAAGCCACTACCTGGATTGGGTCCCACATCGGCCAGTCCCCGGCCGACGCCTTCAGGAAGGAAGACGACACAAAAATGCCATCGTCGCCCATACAGAGGAACAAAGGTTTTTGCCTGCAAAAATTAAATAAACGAAATGATTTGTGTTCTTCAGTACAACCGGGGGTGCATGAGTCATTCATGGTGAAAGAAAGAGATTAAGATCAATTGAAAGTCACGTACCACTACCATGCATATCAATAATCAACCGGTTGTTTAATTCTGTAACTAAGTATTCAGGGCCATTCTGCTGCCTGCTGGAGATTGAAAAAATATTCAGAACTAACGTGCCGTGCGTATCAATCGAGTGTCTAACGCTGACGACTTCTGCCTATAACTGTGTGTCGAACTGTGAATGAATCCAGGTCCGATCCTGCTGGAGGACTACCACCTGGTGGAGAAGATCGCCGACTTCGACCGTGAGCGCATCCCGGAGCGGGTGGTACACGCCCGGGGTGCCAGCGCCAAGGGCTTCTTCGAGGTCACCCACGACGTCTCCCACCTGACCTGCGCCGACTTCCTCCGCGCGCCGGGGGTGCAGACCCCCGTCATAGTGCGCTTCTCCACCGTGATCCACGAGCGCGGCTCCCCCGAGACGCTCCGCGACCCGCGCGGCTTCGCCATCAAGTTCTACACCCGGGAGGGCAACTGGGACCTGGTGGGCAACAACTTCCCCGTCTTCTTCATCCGCGACGGCATGAAGTTCCCGGACATGGTGCACGCGCTCAAGCCCAACCCCAAGACCCACATCCAGGAGAACTGGCGGATCCTCGACTTCTTCTCCCACCACCCGGAGTCGCTCCACATGTTCACCTTCCTCTTCGACGACATCGGCGTGCCCGCCGACTACCGCCACATGGACGGCTCCGGCGTCAACACCTACACGCTGGTGAACCGCGCCGGCAAGGCGCACTACGTCAAGTTCCACTGGAAGCCCACCTGCGGCGTCAAGTCGCTGCTGGAGGAGGAGGCGGTCACGGTGGGCGGCACCAACCACAGCCACGCCACCAAGGACCTCACCGACTCCATCGCCGCCGGCAACTACCCGGAGTGGACCTTCTACATCCAGACCATCGACCCGGACCACGAGGAGCGGTTCGACTTCGACCCGCTGGACGTGACCAAGACGTGGCCCGAGGACGTGGTGCCGCTGCAGCCCGTGGGGCGGCTGGTGCTGAACCGCAACATCGACAACTTCTTCTCGGAGAACGAGCAGCTGGCCTTCTGCCCCGGGATCATCGTCCCCGGGGTGTACTACTCGGACGACAAGCTGCTGCAGACGAGGATCTTCTCCTACTCCGACACGCAGCGCCACCGGCTGGGGCCCAACTACCTGCTGCTGCCAGCCAACGCGCCCAAGTGCTCCCACCACAACAACCACTACGACGGGCTCATGAACTTCATGCACCGCGACGAGGAGGTCGACTACTTCCCCTCAAGGTTCGACCCCGCCAAGCACGCGCCCCGCTACCCCATCCCCTCCCGCACCCTCAACGGCCGCCGCGAGAAGGTTTGTACCTTACCTGCTAGTACCTCCTGATCCGTTCTTCTCACAAGTTAGCAAGTTAAAATGCATGATGCATGAATTGTAGATGGTGATCGAGAAGGAGAACAACTTCAAGCAGCCCGGGGAGAGGTACCGCTCCATGGACCCGGCAAGGTGCGTAGTACCAAAGCTACTGTATCAATTAGCAAGCAATTGTTATGAACTTGCATGGTTAATCAATTTGGTATTGCTAACTGAATGATGTATGTGTGTGTGTGTGTGTACGTTCAGGCAAGAGCGATTCATCAACAGATGGATCGACGCGCTGTCGGACCCCCGCCTCACCCATGAGATCAAGGCCATCTGGCTCTCCTGCTGGTCTCAGGTAATCAAACAGGGGAACATCCTTACAGATGCGCACAGCATTTGCATGTTCTCTGAAGAAATTTGTGTGTAATTTTTTCCATGATCTCTGAAGAATATAGTAAGATAAGGCATACTGAATCGCTTCTTGTGGGATCGTGCAGGCTGACAAGTCTCTCGGCCAGAAGCTCGCGAGCCGTCTCAGCTCCAAGCCGAGCATGTAAGATCAGTCCATGGAGTGCGCAAATCAGAAATCTGCTTCAGGGCCGTCCAAGTTCTTCCCTCTTATCGGCAAAGAATTACGTACCAAATGCTGCATCTACCTACTTCATTTTACTGAGCCTATTTTGAAAAGAGGACATACATATGATTCTACCACACGTTATGCGCATTGTCGTCCGTCATTCATGTAATAATTTGTACAAGAGCCCGTTTCTCCTGATACTTCATGATTATTGTAAAGTGAATGCATCTTGATTAATGAACCAAATTAAGAATAAGTTGAAGAGTATGTATACCAATAATCTCTTGTGTTTGTCCTTTGCAATGGCTTCTTTTCTTGGAACAACAACTAAATAGTTTTAGGAGCGTGGCTATGTCTGAGTTGACTTAGAAATGCTTATTTTTCTCTCAATGAACCCGATAGCTCTCCAATCAAAATCTTCTACTTCCTCTGTTTACTTGCATGAATCCCAAGGTCTTCATCGACCGGTTCTCAATGGTGAGTTAGAAAGTTATTTCTTAGTTGCCTGAGGACTAGAATAACCCGTTTGTGATTCAAATGTACATAAGTCTGGTGCTGAAATAAATCGCATGTGACATGTCACTCACACTCTAGCAGACTACCATTTCTCAGGAAAAATTAAATCTTCCTTTCATGCTAGCAACACACACACATTTTTGTTCCATACAATGTTCTACAGAATTCTCAGACAACAAACAATAAATATAAATAATAAAGTTGCATGTTGTCTATGTTCGTTCATCAAACTTTGTGTTGGTTATATTGGAGTCACAGAGTAAATCAGAGCAAGAAGACCTACATCTTGCAGAGTAATTTTCAGCTCATCATATTTTCCTGCAAGGACCAAGCATTGCTCTTCCTCAACTCCGACGATGAAAGGTATTGCAACAAGTAGACACAGGATAACAATACTTCAGAAGAAATATTAATGACAGTGATAATGGAACATGGCAAAACCTGAAAGACGACACATCCACCTTCTCAAGATGCAGGTCTAGCAGCACCTCACTACACAGTATAAACACATTTAAGACAAACACTTCCCTTCGTGACTCAAGAAAACACCTGCGTCAGCAGGAAGAATATTTTAATCATGTGTATGATATTACAAGGAGTTTAGATTGAGCAATTTTTGGCAGGAAGAGATAAACATAATGTATAAAACAACTGCCAAAATCCGGATAATACATCTTCAAGAATATACCAACAATAGGCTGTATGTTTACTTAATCAAAAGAACAAAATAAAAGAACAACCTAATCAAAAGGGTTAAAGTGAAATAGAAGTATACAATGTGGGATTTTCCCCTAGCTTTGCCCTTGCCAAAATAAATCCAAATGCAGGGGTAATGAAAGTTTCTTGAAATGTCAAGTCAAGGGATTTTACACTTTTGTTTGCCAAATATCATAGCTAGAGCTATGGTGCAATATGGATCCAAGTATATCGTCATGGTAATTGTAGAAAGTGTGTCTATGCATAGCTGTCTGGCAAATAAAAATCTGGTTCACCCACACATGAATAATTGAATATACATTCTTGGGATCCACTTCCGATGTTATGACATCACAGTTAAAAGTATTTCATAGAATATAGAAGTCTGAAAGTAAGATTTTAAAATGAAACTATTACTCCCTCTGTAAACTATTACTACTACTTTAGTGATCTAAACGATCTTATATTTCTTTACAGAGGGAGTATATATTGTAAAATAAAAGGATGCTGTGCTAGTTTGGAGAAAAGATGCTTACTTAGCTGTTGACTTGGCTCAGAAAGAAGATCCATTTGACTTTACTGTTCAAGATGGAATACCGTGTTGGTTGATGGAGCAAGACCTTGTGTGTGCAGTGTTGTGCATCTTATCCAAATCCAATGAAACCAGTTCAAGTCTCCACGGCGTGAGAGGACGTGAGGAACCAAACCTGTGAGAAGAGGTGTGGCGGCGTCGCTGCCCGGCGTGAGGAGGAGCTCCAGGGAGACGAGAAGCGCCGGGATGGTAGCGTAGCGTCCTCGCAGGCAGAGGTGCTCGTCCGTGCCCATCTGCCGCACCACTCACGAGGCCTTCGCCTACAGCCCGAAAACCTCCGACTCTCTCCGGCCGCGGCGGAGAGCCTGGGTGGCGGCCGCGGATATCGGCGGCCGCCGCGTCCCGCTTCTGACCGTTGGAGAAGAGATGTGAATAGCACGGGCCGAATTTCTGGTCTGCAGCCCCTCCACCCCCGTTGCGCCACCATTGTCGTCAGTGAGAAGGCAAGGCGACCACCGTCTGAGGAGTAGGAGTTCGGGGGCCGCGCGTTGGCACGGCTCCGTCGCTCCCCATACCGACGTATCGTGCTGCAACGAAAGGATGAAGGGGATAGACGTCGGAGCGGGAGGCGATGCCGGTCGGTGCATGTCTATTACGGTAAGGCTGGTGCTACTGCGTCTTTTTTAGTCCCACACCGTCGAACCACAGCATTTTGCACCGATTTAAAAGCTTTTTCCACAGGGGGGGGAGCTATGCCAGGGGTGCCAGCCCAGTGGGGGTATAGCCTTATAGTGGAGAGCTATGCCTCTCAGTTAAAATGCCAAAGAGGGTGGGGGTAGGGGGTTCAAATTCTTCTTCTAAATAAGTACTAAAAAAGGAGATAAAATAAAATAAAGAAAAAAATGTTCTTGCACATACAAATGAGCATTTTTTTTCTTGCATGTTCTTTTTGCTCAACAATTTAATACATTTTTTGCTCTACATAATTTATTGAGCAAGAACTTCAAAATTTAATAGAAAAGTATTTTAATTTTAAAAAACTAAAGAAACCAAACATGGAACCCTAGAGTTCTTTTTCTTCCTTAGTAATGATACCATTGGCATATATCAGCATCCCAGTGCATGTTTGACCTTAAAACCGGTGTTGACGCTCAGAAGTGGCACGATCATAAAGCGGCATGCCGGGGTGAAAACCTTGCCAGTGTGAAAGCTTGCCGGTGTGAAGCCTTGCCGGGGTAACCTTGCCGGTGTGAAGGCTTGCCGGCATGGAAGCTTGCCGGTGTGAAATCTTGCTGGGGGAGAAACCTTGTCAGGGAGGAACCCTTGCCGGGGTAGAAAGCTTGCTGGGGTGAAACCTAGCCGGTGTGAAAGCTTGCCGGTGTGGAAAGTTTACCCGGGTGGAAAGCTTGCCGGGGTGGAGGCTGTGATAGTCAATCAGACGAGAAGTTGAAGATGGACTCAAAAGCTAATTCAGATGATCTCGGATGGAAAAGTGTTCTGCACGGAAGTTGTGCGTCTCATCGAATCGATTGATTTTGATATAAAGATCGTCCCAATCTGAAGTCGTATGCAAAATTTAGAGCCCGCACAGTGCGACCCTCCAGTGTGCAAAATATGACGCCCGGAACCATGTGGGTATGTCTGATGAGCTGTGTGAATAATTAGCTATTTTGCGCGAGCGACTTGACCCTCAAGGCGACCTCTGACGAAAAAACGTTCAACATGAAAGTTGTTCATCTCGTCGAAACGGTCAAGATTGCTTTTGGACTCGTTTCCATCCGAGGTTCTTTACCACCACAAAAAAGACCCGCAATGTGCAACCAGTTTTAGACTGGAAAGTTCGGATAAAACCAATCCGAATTTGACTAGGGTTTTGGACGTGAATCCAAACTTTTTCCTTGCACGGGAAGTCCAGCCGCCTCTTAGATTCCTAAGGGGTGACTGCCGATTAAACAACACACAATCGAACAAATCAATCTACTACTTTTTCGTGTTCATCTACTTTTTGTCTCTCCCTTGTATCTTTCTTCTCGTTCTTCACTAGTTCTTCATGCTGGAGGGTTGCGGATCCACGAGGCTCTAGGGGCGAGCGAATCGACCTGGAGCAGCCCATAGCCGTCGCGATCCCTGATGGGGTCCCTCCCGGGCAAGCGGGGCTTCGGGTCTACAAAAGCGCCCGCCGACGTGAGCTGCGGTGCATCACCCCCGACGTAGAGGATACATGGTGACGTGTTCGTGTGTCAACACACTTTTTGGCGACTCCGCTAGGGACTAAGCTTTGAACAGTCTCCAACCTGTTCTTGCTACGAGGAGAGCGTCATCAAGCGGCTGCAATCTACAACGGTAACATGTATCATCAATATCCTTACATAGATGCAAATAGCCATTATGTTGATGTTGCTAGATCTTTCAATGGACATGTCATGTCGGCTAGCCCTAACGAGCAAAGGCCGACTAGTTATTCCGTTGGAGAAACTTGGAATTTACAGAATCGCGACATGAACTTATGAATCTGAACTTTCATGCATCGGCAACATCTTTCAATATGCCGGTGAACAACACGATTTGTTCGAGTGATAAATATATGACACTTGATGTACATGAGAGCGTCTCACAGTTTTATCCATCGGCAGCGGGCTCGCAATACGCGGGTTCATCCCCAAACATGTCGATGGATGGGGGAATCGGCCATGCTTCCGTTAGCTATTTGGCCGGTTATCCTCAAACATCATATATATACTACACCTCGTGATATTAATTGTTCAGTGGCATATGAAACTAAAAATATTCATGACTCGGATCACCTTGGTCGAGTGAATGGAGATTCTGCAGGAGCATATGTGCCTAATATTGCAGGAGATGAGGTGGCTCTGGATGCATTAAAAAGTTTAGCCCAAAATAAGAAGATTAGTGCTATTTGCCTTGAGCAGCACGAAAAGGGATTGGTTCCTGATTATGGGGCAATAAGAGCTAGGGTTTTGAAAGAAGACGAAGTGTTGCCGATTGATCAAATTGGCGTGAGAAAATACTCAACAACAGTGCACATGTCTTCACCTATCATTGCAGCATGTTGTAGACCCCCTATACAATCGCAAAATTTCAGCAACATCAATTCATTGCCAAAAGATCGTAAAAGTATTGGGGGGCAAGTCGATCCAAGCAGGGCTAAGTTTCAAGAAAAATATGTGGCCCAAGTGGACAAGAACAAGCCAGAGCTTATAGGGAATAGCATTAAT